CACCTATCAGTACATAGCACATACTTACATGACATTTATGAATGTGAAAGGAGTTCTTAGTTTGAATATATAATTTATAGTCCCTTTTTGTGAAATCGAAAAGTCCAACGCAAACTCCCAACAATAAATGAAAATGAAAGAAACATCACAAAAAACATAGGTATATATTTTTTCTTAAATTCACTACAAATAAATTTTGCAATTATCTAAAGTGTGCTAAATCATAACAACCAACAAATAAAATCAGTTTTGTATTAGAAAGAGTGCCATTTTTTGCCTGAATTTCTTCGCACGCCTTTGTATTTAGCAAAATGAAAATTACAAACAATATGTACGTAGTGTTATTACACTCTTTTGCGAAGAGTTGCCAACGATTTACAAATGTATATGTACACATTAATAATTAAGTTTTCATGAGTCTCTCGTTTACGCCATAATGACAAAGGCAGCAGGATGTTTTTATTAGCTCAACTGCGCTAACTTTGTTTACATACATACATAGTTATTTAGTCTAACGAGTGCGTAAGTAAAACATAATTTATTATTTCTATTATTACTTACTGCTGCCTTTCGCGCTGTTGGCGAGCTCTTCACTTTTTTTTCTTTTTATACTTTGAGACAACTAAAAACTAAAACTTTCTCGACTTTTCGCACTTAGGTGCTGGTAAGAGTACTTTTAATGACTTCACCTCGATTACAAGTTATTTGCCTTTGCGCGAAAGTTTATGGCGCGTAGTGTAAATTACAACAAATTATGTGTGACCACGTTTAACCACTGATATGTATGTATGTATGGGTAGGAATCTCCCATAGTATCTTCTCCCAAGGCGAATCTATACAAGTTGGTGTTATCGTCGGATCCGCTGATTTCATGGCGAATTTGTCCCTTTTGTCAAAATGATGTGTTTGTTGTAATTTTGTTTTGTACTTATTGTCAGTGTGTGTATACATAATTTGTTATTGTAATTTTTGTTTTTGTTCTGTTAACACCACCTTGTATGAATTTGCCTTGGTATCTCCCATAGTGTAGCGCTTTTCTTTGCTTGTAAATCATAACTCGAGTTAGTGGGTACGACTTTTTTTTACGCAGTTTCACACTTTTCTTATACACACTTTTAACTTTTCTGGATGCAGAACCAATTTATCTGCTTCTAAGGGGAAATATCCAAGCATATTTCAGACGAAGGTCTACCCTGATAGTTTGTATTTTGATACGCAGATAATCCCTAAATTTTAGGTAATAGTTCGGCGGTGATCAGAGCTCATTTAGATTGTGAAATCAAATCATTCTTAACCCTTGACTGCATTGAGAAACTTAACTCCCTTGGTAGGTGTAACAATATTCAGTTAGTATAGCGCCACAATGGAATGGAGGGAAGTGAGATAGCGGATAGTTTTGGAAGAGAGGCTACAACTAACACACCAATCCGTGCGGAGTATTTATTCGCAGTAGTCCCAGTACTATTAAGGAAGTGCTCTAGGAGGAGAGGGTTGCTGCAGCCTAGTCCTAATGAATTTGTCACAATTATTTCATTCGCGTTATTTACGCGGCAATTTTGGCAACAATTTTTCAAATCGCCACGAGTCAATTCTGGGAACTAGGTATATACGTATGCATATTGAAAGGTCTTTTCAACCGACTCAGTTCATCGGAATTTGTTTTGTTTTGTTTTTTTTTTTTTTTTTTTTTTTTGTATGTTACCGCATAACTTTGGACCAAGTCCACCGATTTCGATAATTCTTTTTACATCGGAAAGGCAGTATCTCGGAGGTGGTCCCATACTAATTAAGATCCGATCATTGGATCACGAAATATATACATATATTTTATATGAGAATTGAAGCCGGTTTTGTTTTTTGCCTAAAAATTAAATACTTCTTTGCCTTTCGAAAGACTAATATTTTGTTTGACTTATAAGTTTTTTAATAATGAAATGAAACTAAAAAAAAAATATAAATATGTATGTTTCTTTTTAATACAAACCAAATATAAAATTGAAATAAAACTTCATTAAATGTAGAGAGAAAAAATTATATTAAAAAATATTTTTTTTTTAACAGTAAAATCTAAGAGTAGAAAGTAAAAAGTAATGATTAAAAAAAATATTTAATATGTTTCTAAAAATTATATGAAATGAAAATAATATGTTTGGAAAACAATATAATCTAACTATGAAAATAAAACTAAATAAAATATAAAATTGCGGATTAAGACCAGGAAAAAATTATGAAAAAATTCTTAAAAATTAAATGAAAAAAAATATATATATGTATTTTTTTAAACAATATAGTCAAGAAAATGGAATTAAAAAAAGATAAAATAAAATAAGTTCCAAAATATTTACTGAATTAAAAAAATGTAAAAAAAAACCTAAAATTAAAAAGAAACATTAATTAAAAAAATAATAATAATTAAAACAAAGAAAAAATACTAGTTTCTAAAAATTAAATGAAATCTAATTAAATAGGCTATCTTGTGCCTAGTAGATATCTTTAAATTGTCGTAAAAAACTTGCAACCAACACTTAGTCCCTAATATTCTGGTCCATATTTACCTTAACCGAGTATACAAGAAATTTAAAGAAAATTGGCAACTTTTTAAAAATTATCCCAGTTTGAGATATTCTTATATTCTTTGGTGTTACCGGTATTGTAAAATTGTTCTTAACATATTCAATTACATAAATGGAATATGTATAAAGATGTTACTTATCAGGAACCACATTTTATGGACTGCAATGTACACATACATAAATGAGTACATTAAGGTGCATCAATCTCCATACAAAAAAATCGGTGCTGTTCTTTCATTGTAATTAAAAAACAATTATTTTATTTAAACCTTTGCCAAAATATTCAGATTAATGTGAGCAGGACCTATTTGAAAATACCTCCAAAAATAAATTTTTTAAAAACTTTTTTTTTGTTAGTTTTGAAAAATATTTTTTTCCAACAAATCACCAGATAATAGAAGAGTCTATGTTAAAAAAAAAAAAAATCGAAATTCGGTCGTTCCACGTGCGAAATAAAGACATCAAAGAAAATTTCAAAATTTTGAACATATTTTTAGAGGTTGCTTGCATATATTTAAATTGCTTTTAAATTTTCGCAAAATTTTACTTGAAATCTGTTAATAAATTTGAAATATTATTGAAACTTATTCATATAAATTCTTAAACTCTCTGAGTTATAACTAATAGTCAAAATTGTGTCGATTTTTTGCGGTTAAATAGAAAAATGTTTTTTTTTTCTTTTTTTGTTGGGTAGCCACCCCTAATTTATATTATTTATTTTATAAGCCTTGATCATTGCGTAGATTTCAGCCATTTAATATTTTTCGACAACCGCTTTCCATTGTGCTGTTATATTTCTTTATTGTTGTTTACTTGTTCAAATTAATTTGCTGTTTGCTATGTTAATTTCAATTTTCTACCGTAACACACACACGTATGCACTCGGTATACACAATTAAATATTTCGGTGCTCTACTCGTACGCTTTACTTTGTGCCTAACATTGCGGTTAATATAAATTATCTACGTTAAGAATCTTTCGAGCAACTTATTAAGCCGTTACGCATGTGCGTAGTTAAATGAAACAAAATATGTGCTAAATAGCTTGGAAAGTGTAATTACTTTAAGTGGGTTCTACATAAATACAACTACGAGCAACATAAACGTACTTAACATACATACATATGTTAATATATACTGGCAATCAAAAGTGAGTGCATGGTGTTTTTTTTGTTTAATATTTGCAATTTTTTTAAAGCTAAAATTTTTTGTTATTTTTTTATAAAAATATAGTTTATGCTTTAATCAGAGCCACATAAGCCAAACTTTCAAACTTTATACAGAACTTAGAAAAATTCACCGAATTTTCAGATAAATTTTGAACATTTTAATCTGAATTTTTGGAATTATAAGTTTTGGGTATGCAGATAGATCGGCTATATCATACTAAAAAGTTCAAAATTAGATGAAAATTCGGTGAATTTTTCTAAGCTCTGTATAAAGTTTGGCTTAGGTAGTTTTGATTAGAGCATGAACCATATTTTTATAAAAAAAAAATAACAAAAAAAATTTTAGCTTGATAAACATTTCAGGAATAATTTTTATACCCGAGCGCACTTGTGCACAAGGGTATTATAACTTTGTCCACATAACGGTTGTTTGTAACAGGCAAAACGAATCGAGATAGATATAGACAAATGTATACATAAATGATCAGAATGAAAAGAGAAATCGATTAAGTGGTGACTGTCTGTCCGTCCCTCCGTCCGTCCGTCCGTCTGTGCACACGATAACTCGAGTAAAAATTGAGATATCTTAACGAAACTTCGTACATGCACTTCTATTGGGCGTGGGACGGACGGTATTGAAAATGGGCGAAATCGGACAATAACCACGCCTACCTCCCATATAACGGTAATTTTCAGAAATACGAAAACTGCGATATTTTAGTAACTACTGAAGATNCTTATGATAAAATTTTGGAAAATGGGCGTGGCACCGCCCACTTATGATCACATTTATGTATATCGGTAACAGTTCTAGCAATTTGAAGCAAACTCGGTATGATTATTGTGCTTGCCACATAAAAGCAAAGCGTTGAAAATTATTGAAATCGGTCTAAAATTACGACCGATTTTCATATAACGGTAAATTTCAGAAATGCTTGAAATTTCAATATTTCGAAATTTAAGGATGCTAGTTTACTTAATATTTATACACACCGGCTTATCGTGTAGCGGTAGCTTTCGGTTAGGTGGAAAACATATATTTAATACTTGCGCCGGGTATTTAATGTTCGGCTCCGCCCGAACTTAGACTTTCTTACTTGTTTTTTACTTTTATTTACATGCAAACTTTACAATTAGTAGTCGCCTTAAAAAGTGCGTACTGCAGACTCTTCACGAACCACATATGTATGTATAAGTACCTAATAATTCATCGCAAATATTTTCATTTTCCCGAAATTTGTCAAATAGATGCGCCACCACTAGACTCTGCAACTTCGCCTCTTCTTCCTTCGACAAGAACGGCGCATCGGTCGTCGTTTCATGGCGCAACTCATCTTTGGCCGCCTTTTGCGTCCACATTTAGCCATTCGCCTCTTGCGGCGTTTTTTACAACCAGCATTTGCCCTAGGGCACACAGGGCCGCAGTCTTTCGCATATGACACCACCCGCATTTTTGTCGGCTTAATCAGTTGCTGCTGCAGCTGCTGCCGCTGCCGCTGCTGCTCTTGTGGCGGCGATAGTGGTAGTTTTCTTTTCTTGGCTGCATAAAAAGCCTAAGGTAAATACTTAAGATTGAACATCATTGACAGCGCAAAAAATTCTCATACTAACCTCTTCAATATACCGCAATTTGCTCTCTTTTGCCATATTATTCCATTCCTTAGCGCCGCGTCGTATGATTTCCACAGCTGAGAGACCACAATTGCGTTGACGAAATTCGCGTAGAAAATTCAAATATGGATTGCGATGAAGCGGTCCGCTGGGACGTTGGCATTTACCAGCTTTCGTTTGGTTAAATGCTGTCGTCTTCGACACGCAATTCATCTTCGACGTGGAGCGCAACGACAACTTTTTCTCAACCTCCATCTTTGGATAACCTATTTTGCAATCAATTTTTTGCGATGGGACGCACGAATTTAGATTCAGATAGATAAAATGAATACTTTGTTTGGTAAATACGTTTAATTTTTTAACAATTAATAAATTTTAATCTTTTTCACTTGAATTTGTAGTTATTGAGAAAAATCTATGAACTTGAAAGATGTAAGAAAATATTGAAATAATTTTCAAATCTCGTTGAGGTAAATTATTTTAAAAAATTTTCATTGTAGAGTGAGTTGTAGTAAAAAAAAAAAGAGATTCGGCCCAGTCAGCAGTGTTGCCAGGAGAGAATTTCGTTTGGAGCTGTAAAATTTCAAAGGCTATACAGACCCAATCAACTGAAATTTTTACCTCAAAATTGTGGGACTTATTCCTTTTGCTAGGATGTCGCTACCTCTTTAAAGGATACGCGGGCAATCACGTCTTTGAGTTTTTTTTAATCATCATTATTCTTAAGTGAAAGAATAAAAATTAATAACGTGGAACCTTCGACTTGTTTTACAATGTTCAATCTTAGAAAACTTTTGAGAAAATTTTTAATTTGTCAACTGTTGAAAAACTTTCATTTGAATTTTTTCCTATTTTGAAACGCAATAAATTTTATTTTATTTTTTTAAATATAAGTTTTTTTACTAATCACTTAGCAAGTAGCAATAATAATTATTATCTTTGAGAGAAAAAATAAAAACCGTAAAATAATCATTATGTATATTTGATAGCAAAAATAAAAATCAAATAATAATAATTTTATTTAAGCGAAAAAATAAAACTCAAATATTAATTGTTATCTCTTATATTTATTGGTTGAACTTGAAAGATAAAAAACACTCTAAATTATAGTAGGACGTTCGAACACAGAGAATAGTTAAAACCGTTTTGCGACGATTACAACTTGTTGATTTTTTTTTTTTGTTAAAATTTAAAGAATAATATTTATTTTTCGTCCCGATGTTTAGAATTTGATTTCAAAACGTAAAAAAGGGTTATAAAAATGCATTTCAAGCTTTAATTTGTTATTTTTTGGTTGATTCAAGATTTTTACAAATGTCTTATCCACACGTTTGTTAGATTTATAAAGAAAATGATTTTTGCCTGACGTTCACTTTCCCATGGAAGCTCCCATTTGCCTTAGCCTTAGACAATGAAATGCCCTCGACATTTTACCTTTTATTGTACCAGTACATTAACATACATACACACATATGAACATTAATTTTATTGGTTTTTATGAGAAATATTATTGCCTATTTTTATATCGATTTTTTTAAGGTCATTCAGAGGTCGGTCGCATCCTGTCGATTTAGGTCAAAAAATACGATTTTGTAGATTTATGAGTTTCATAGATTGAATATGATCTGAGAAGAGGATATATAGATAGGCCTTTAAAATGGTATATAATAGTCTATTGTCGGACTAGACTTGGGGCCCCTATTGCGAGTGTCGACTGGCAGTAGAATAGAAATTTGTGGATCGAGTCGATCATCTTTTATTTTGCTATTGTGTAACTTGATCGATAAAAATTTGTACTATTGTGAATGGTTGACAGAATTGTAAACAGCTGTTTGTTTGTTTACATTTGTTTCTTTAGTGTTTTATTTACATCATTTTTAAAATAATTGCTTTTATTATAAAATTTAAAAAATTGGACACAGTTGAAATATGGTTTAGTGATGAGGAAGATGATGTGGAAGCTAATCGATTAGTAGAGTTGGCTAAAGCAAGGAGAGAATTGCGAGATTCGTCGGATCCCTTGGAGTTGGAAGCTGGTACGTGGACTTCTTTAGGGCATAGGACGGATGGTATTGAAAATGGGCGAAATCGGACAATAACCACGCCTACCTCCCATATAACGGTAATTTTCAGAAATAGGAAAAGTGCGATATTTTAGTAACTACTGAAGATAATTCACTCAAAATTGATATTTACAATGAGTTTTAGACGAAAAATAAGAATATTAAAAAATCTTGGCAAATGGGCGTAGCCACGCCTACTTATGGTTACATGTGTATATCTTGGTAACCGCTGCACCAATTTCTTCCAAATTTGGCACAGTTGTTGGTCCTGCTACAACATACCAAATGGCCGAAAATTTTTAAAATCGGACAATAACCACGCCCACATCCCATATAACGGTAATTTAGAAAAATACGAAATCCTCGATAAATCAGTAAATATTAAAGCTAATTTATTCAAAATTGATGATTGCAACAATTCTTTACCAAGAAATACATTTATGACAAAATTTTGGAAAATGGGCGTAGCACCGCCCACTTGTGATCACATATATGTATATCGGTAACCGTTCTACCAATTTGTACCAAACTCGGTGTGGTTATTGTGCTTGCCACATAAAAGCAAAGCGTTGAAAATTATTGAAATCGGACTAAAATTACGACCGATTTTCATGTAACGGTATATTTCAGAAATGCTTGAAACTGCAAAATTTCGAAATTTAAGGACGCTAATTTACTTAAAATTTATACACCCCGGCTTACCATCTAGCGGTAGCTTTCGGAAAGGTGGAAAAACATATATTTAATAATTGCGCCGGGTATTTAATGTTCGGCTCCGCCCGAACTTAGACTTTCTTACTTGTTTTGAGTTAAAAATTTTTTGAGAGTTTTCTCGGGATTTTCGGTGGAAACTTTTCGGGATTTTTTCAGGATTTTCGGGACTCTTGAGTCCTTTTAGGGCCCTTCAGTATTCGTCGGTTAAATAATTCAGAAAATAAACGCTGATATGGGCTTTTTCTCTTTTCTTCAAATTTTTTCGGAATTTTAAGGGACTTCTCACATTCAACGGTGCATTTCAATCTTAACTATGTCTTTTTATGCTTCACTGAGGAGAGTAAAAATTATCAGTTTTTTTTTTGCCGGAAATTTGAAGGAAATAGTTATTTGAAAAAATTTGTTTTTGCCAATTTTTTTTTATCTGTTCTAATTTTTATCAATTCTTCTTTTGTTGCTCATGCTTCAAAAATATATTTTGTTAGAAAAATATGCTGAAATTTAACATGGAAATGTTTTTACAGACCACCGGCAAAAGCAATGAACTACAATGCAACAGCCACTGCGCCAATTTTTAAAATTACTTACAAGGTTATAGTTTTCGTTTTTAGAAATTTATTTCAGTTAAGTTAAATCAAATGCATTCATTGGGGACTGTCTGCGCGCCGTCTGGCCTTTTAATAGTTATTTGTATGTTCAGTGATTCGCCAATAACTGTCAGCCAACCTGGACTTTTTCGACTACGCAACAATTTTAAATACTCAGTAAGTACTGTTGCTTAGGTTTATGCGAAATAATTGAACACTCTCATCTGAGAAGCATAAGAAAACAAATGAGGTGGTGAAGTTAGTAAACCTCCGTGTAGATAAAAAAAAAATTAACTCTTTGCGAACAATTTAATTAGTGCCAAAAAGTATTAAATAATGCACCTACTCAGGCAGACAAAAGCCATTATATACATTTAATATTGAAACATTGTTCTCTTTTTTATGCAACTTCTGTGAATTACTTACTTAGTCTAGTTAGTTCGCAGAGAAAAAACTCGTTTAGCACGAAACAAAAAAAAACAACTCGACCCAATTGAAATGCAATTCCAATGTTCAGGCGATATGTCGTGAACGAAATGCAGTCAACGTTGACAAAATATATACATAGTTGGCTTGTACACACATACATATGTAAATATATACTTACAAATGTGCTTATATAAATATACACGTATAAGACGAGGGCGAATATGTCGCATGGCTAACAAATGCAGGTACGTAAACAAGTATGTATGTATGTATTGTATATGTAATTCAATCGCTTAAACTAACAAAGCTATCAGCTCTGGAAAACAAAAGCGCTACAGTGTGAAAACAAGCAAAATTACAAAAATACATACACACCTACATACGTACGTACAAACACGCGAAATGTGGCAAGGTGGAAGCGGAATGCCGTATAGAAGGAAGTTGACGTTGCAACTACTTAACTGTGACTTCATTAATAACAACAACGGCGAACGACATAACGACAACAAAAACAATAACGGGCTTTCTGTAACAAAAGTATGCAAGTAATGACAGCATGGCACGATGCCACCCACCCACCCACTCCCCACGACACACAAAAATGTAACGCGACACAAGCAACCGCAATTCATGCAACACGACCAAAAAAAACCAAAATATATCCACCCGGCAAAGTGTTACCTACCACTCGACTAGAGGTGGGTAACTCAACTCAGAGTTGAGTTATTGAGTTGATTCCTATAAGTGAATCGGTAACTCAGACTCCCTATCCAAAAAAAATGTAACTCAGTAACTCAGTTGATGCCGTAGGGCTCACATGAATCAATTGAATCATAGTGGCTCATATTTGTCCATATAACTCTCTCGCTTCGCCACAGTGTTTAGCATGGCAAAGTCTTGCATTTTGTTTTTGCACGAGGCGAATTTATACAAGGTGGTGGCAAGAATACAACAACAACAACCACATGTATTTTGTATTGCGGGTGTTATGTCAAATCTCACAAATTCTTATAATTTCGTTTTTTTTTAGTTTTTCTCGAAATATGTATGTATGTAAGATATATAAAGATGTGCATATCAAATCAATTGCCTTTCCAACCATATCCACATTTTGAAATTCGGTACAATAGGTTTCGAAATATAAGCTTTTGAAAATATTGAAAATTCCACCTTTACCCTCCCCCTAGCACCGCCCTATTAATTTGCACACAAAAAAAATTACACCTTTCAAATCAGTAGAAAGGAGCTGACCACGCCCACTTTAAAGTTTTGTTTTATCTCAACGGCCGCTATACCGCATCTATGCCTCAAAACGAGTCTACGATACGAATGAGTGTAACATACAAAGAGTCAAATGAGTTAGTTGAATGAGCTGACTCCTTAAAGTGAGTTGGAGTCATTGAGTCAACTCCTATAAATTTGCTGAGTTACCCACCCTTACACTCGACGAAGTTTTCTGTAT